ATTTCCCCACCACTTCACATGCTTAATAAGCATAATCACAGGTATGTACACAAAACAACAACACACACTAGACAGGAGTTGAATGCATTATTTTCTTTCAGTGTAAAAGTAAAAAGCACTAAAGCAGCTGACCAGTCTCAGCTACTGTAATACTTTGTGCTCTTAGGTCTGAAAGGCCCTCACACGTCAAACGATATGTAGCAATGCCTACAATTTTCCATGAAGTTACTGTCACGAAATAACTTGTAAATACAATGTAAAGATAAAAACAGGAACCTTGGGATTGTGGTCATACATCAGGTTGAGGTTAATTCTTAGTTTTCTCATGCACTCAAAGGCATCTTTGAACATTAGCCTGCAAAAAAGAGAACCTGCTTAAACACTAAAATGCAAACAACAAGCATCATATAACAGAAATACCACAAATTATATATATAATATATATTCTTATTAGATTTATTGCTATATTAACATTTGTGTCTGAAAATACCACATCCCTATTTAGTGTGAAGTGCCAAAAACTGATGACAGTCTAAATTTAACGGACATCCCAACCTCGACCCAAAAAACTCAGTTCTAACCATCATCTGAAAACCAAACATAAACAGGTCCCAAAATATTGTGATTGGGAATTGTGGAAAATGATCTATGCATGTAACCCTAACACAGAAGTGATCACTAAAACTGCCTCTAAGACCAGCTCCAACACCATCTTTAATCTCAGTTTATCATCAACCTAGCTTTGGAACTCCAAAACTAATCCACTACTGAATCTTAACACTAAGAGTACTTCAACACTGGGCACTAAGTGGGCAATAAACTGAAGTGGGTGCCCCAGCTTTACCCTGGACAATACTACCATCGATTTGTGTTTATTTGTGCGTTCTCCTCTGTTATGTGTCCTAAGAGCACTTTCTGGGGCTCTCTTCTGTTTTAACCATGCAGTTAATCCCACAATGAGAACCTACCTATCCAGCCACTTCCTGACCTGTGCCAGGACCAGCGCACGATGATGGATGGTTTCAAGGTTGCCCCGAGGCATCTATGGAGTTCCGGCAATTAAATGAGCAGAGGAAGGGAGTTTTGTCTTAGTAGCGGCATTATGTTTTCCCCAGAACATCAACAAAAAATACGCTGTACGTTAGCGGAAAGATTTGGCCTCTCTTCAGTTTAAGTTGTAACGGATTTCTTTTGAGCACCAAAAATACACCATAAACCGCACATCCACTTTCAGTAAGAGAGTGGTTAAAGAACATCATGAACACAGTTCAACTTGAAATATGTAAAAAAAGATTTATTATACTATTCAACTGAACAGCGATTGTAAACACAAGCCTGCTGAAACACCTGAATACTATTAAGATCAATTTCTCTTTTTGATAATTAATAATAATTCCTTACACATATATATAGAGCTTTTCTGGAAACTCCACTAGTGCTTTAGAAGTAATGGGGGCTCCCCTCCACCACCACCAATGTGCAGCCCCATCTGGATGATGTGACGGCAGCCATAGTGCACCAGTACACTCACCACACATAAGCTATCAGTGGGGAGAACAGAGTGAAGAAGCCAATTCGTAGATGGGGATTATTAGGAGGCCATGATTGGCAAAGGCCAGGGAGAAATTTGGGCAGGACAGTGGGGTAACACCTCTACTCTTCGAGAAACACCAGGGATTTTTAATGACCACAGAGAGCCAGAACCTCGGTTTTACGTCTCATCCAAAGGACAGCGCCTTTTTATAGTGTCCCCATCACTATACTGGGGCATTAGGACCCACACAGACCACAGGGTGAGCGCCACCAACTGGCCCAACTAACACCTCTTCCAGCAGCAACCTTACCTTTCCCAGGAGGTCTCCCATCCAGGTACTGAGCAGACTGACTGGATTGATGTCGGCACCTTAGATACTTCTCCAGCAATGAGTCCTGTATCCCTAACCTTCCAGTTCTAGTGTAGAGCTGTACGCACCACTCCGCACCTGCAGCCCTTTAAAGCTGTGTGTGTAGTGGTGTCAAGTACAGAGACAGGGGCTGACTTGCCTGCAGGATGAGTTTTGTATCCTGGGGGACTACAGTGACAATGCGGGAGCCCCTCTCCACCCGGCGCAGTGTTTCATCGTTCTGCCCGGCCTCAGAGCTCAGCGCAGACTGCAGCCCTGAGAGACCACACACACACACAAAGATTATTTCTTTAAAAAATTATTTCATAATGAACTGTACAGTAATAAAAAAAAAACATAAATTGTAACTCAATGAAAGAAACATTAATTTAATTTAATGTTGTAAATTAAAAACCCACGGTGGCCTACAAAGGATCATACTTCCATTTGTTTTTTTCTCATATCCACCTCCAGTTTAGGGAAGAGGTAGAATTTACAAGTGAAAGAATGGACGACAACCTGATATCAAAATATAACAGAATATGCCTTATAACATGTCATTCCCCCACCTTCAACATGAAATACTAACCAACCCATCTTAAATAGTTAAAAAAGGAGCCAATTTTACCTTTTACTGAGGTTTCGTGTAAATTGAAACACCTGCAGGTATGCGAGTGTGTTGTAAGCAGGAGAAAGTTGTCGTACAGAACAAAAGATGAGATATTTGAGGATATCTGGAAGAAAGGAATGAGCACAGACTCTAATCTCAATTTTCTGTGGTGTCAAAACACATTCAAGAATTCTCAAGATACGAAATTGATTATTTTTAATCATCCCTAATCAAACTAATCATGTCCCATGTCCAAACAGTCTCCCTCCCACCCAAGGAAATCCCACATGCACGAAACATGGATGGAATTATGCATGCACCATAATTAATTTTTAATTTAATTTCTGCATGCACCCAGAAGAAAAATAAAAGTTTAAGCAAATACTGAAAAAATACTTTAATAAATATCACTAGGCAATTTCTATTGACATCCTTCTCTTTCCTGCATGCCTCGAGTTTACCTAAGCTTTCTATTCCATTTCACGTTTTGACATCTTGTTAACATTTGCAGCTCTTCTGAAGATGCCTTTAATATATTTGGCTGATGAGTTTAGCAATTTATATGGCAGGACTAGCTGAGCCACCCTGAACCTTGTTCAAGGGTACAGCAACGGTGTTCCAGATGGGATTTAAACCTGAAATCTAGAGCTCCAATAACTAAGCCACACTGCAACCTCTTGACTATGCTGCTTCCAGTAACAGTACTGAGAAATACTCTACCAATATCAATTGACCCGAAAAGAATAACAAGGTACACAATGACATTGGGCATGCAGTTCAGAAAACCCTACTCATTTAAATTACACGTGTCAGTCGTACTGAAGCTCGTAACTTCAGCCCTTCCTGTTTAACTGTACCCTGTGCATAAAACTGTGCTGAAAAGCAAAGAGAATAAAAAGTTAACTGCACCTCTGTATCACCGATGGAAAAACGTGACCTGTCACTGAGTCCCAATAATTGCTCCTGTGAAAACATGGCACCAAATATAAGCACGTTTCCCTATGAATTAACAAAAACACTCCATATTTGCTTGGAGACAGAATTCCTTGAGAAAGGGCAATTCGTCAATTGACAGTACATTATTTGTAGGTCATAGTTATACAGTGAAAGAGTTGCACTTGTATAACCAAAATAAGGTTTATCATTAAATGATATATGTAGCATTTATAATACCCACATGCACCTAGTGTTTAAAAATTCATTAGTTGGGTAATATTCTCAGAAGTTACAGTATGTTGGGATAGATATATCTTAACTACTTGATCAGTACTGCAAGCACAGTATTTACATACCTCCCCAGCAATGGTGCACAAGGCTGTCTGCACACAGGGCTGAGGGAACCGCAGGGCACCACCACTGGAGGTTTGCCATTCCCCGACACAAGGATCTGAGGACTCTGCACACAACACAAACAAGTTAAAACCCCTTTTGCCACATTCATGATCTGTTTTCTGCTTTGTGTTTATACTGCCAATTCCTTTGATCTTTTTGGCAGTTCCATTTCCTTACTACACGGCTAACATGGTTGAAGTTCGAACATGGCCCCCTTGATAATTTTTCCAAGAAGAATATAAATAATGCGACATGATCTGGGCCTGACTGACCCCAGAGGAACCTCTTGATCTGGCCGTCCTCCAGCTGCAGGGCCACAGTCTCACTCTTCTGGCTGGGACACACGCTGATCACATGTCCTTCCACAAGGACGGAGCACCTGGGGATCAGCAACAAGCTGTGAATTCCCTGTGCCTTGCTTCCTTTAAATTCACAATCACCGGTGACCTTTGCTTGTTTTATCCCCCACCTGCTATCCTATTTAGATACAAGTTGATATTTAATTGATACCTAAATATCAACTTGTGCGCCAACTTGGGAGTAATGGAGACAACACATATACTTTGACTTATAATCCACACTAAGTTCTCTGTTGTTACACAGAAATTGTTTTGATTGTTTTGTCATCTGAACATTCTAAATTGTACACAGATATCCATCCAAGATCACCAAGCTCTTTATCGGCCTGCTTGGGATATCAGTCCATCACACACACGTGCATGCAAACACACGCACGCATCCATTCACACAGAGATGCCAGTTAAAGCCAACAGCATGTCTCTGGACCGTGAGCAGACACCAGAGACCCTCCGAGACTCAAATTCCAACACAAAACTCTGGAGCTGTGAAGCAACAGCACTGACCACTGTGCCACCCTGGTTTTATAATCAAAATTAAAATTTGATGGGTCTTGGCCTCCCCCTTCACAGTTGTACCAAAAATGTTATTTATACATTTTGGCTTACACAAAATGTCCTTCTGGACTTTCCAGTCCTGCAGGCTAAAGGGAAGCGAACGGCATCATGCCCACACCTCTTTTTTGCCACCTTAGAAGGCTTAAACAGCAATATTTAAACATCACAGGAAATGGTCAGATTAGAATACAATTTGCAAAAACTGCCTTCATCTGGATTAATGCGGAAGTACTCTGACAGGGAACATGTGCCAGTGGGAGAGATTACTGTAGGACAGCAAGGAGAGAAAGCAGGATGGTTCAGGCCAGAGGCTCGGCCGCAGTACCTGGTCTTCAGGCTGTGTGGCGGGCTCTCCTCCCCTGCAGGAGCCAGCATGAGCAGGCGGGACTGAGAGGGCCGTTCCCCACCACTCACCACCAGGAAAGTGTCGTCCCTCAGCCAGGTGAGCAGCCGCAGGCCGAGGGGCTGCAGGTCCTCCCCCAGCGCCACGCTGCACGGGAACAAGGGGGCACATGAAGTCACCTGTACCGACTTCCGGAATACTAGGAGGACACTGAATGAGTCAACACACCTGAGCGAGTTAATGAGGTTAGAAAGAATCAACATTGATGAGTGCATTTCAAACCACATTAACAGTAAAATGTACACAGTGACTTGTAAAACCCCCAATTTACATCACAAAACAGATGAAATCTCCAGGTATGCCCAGCACCATATTCTGAGATTCAGAACAAGGCAACAAAACTTGAGGTTATGTGCTGCAGCGCTATGACACTGTAAACAAGCAGGCTTGTGAATACATCTCTTTTATTCCAATACAAATATTGCTCTCAATTTCGAGATGGTTTTGCTGAGAAAAACTACCTGTGAAATATCTGCTGCACAACCTTTACTTATTCGCTCATACTTGCATTATATTAGTCATTACAGTGACTAGTGAGCAGGAAGGGCCACATCACATTCGTGGGAACTCTTGCTCTCGACTGTGGAGAGACCAGGGGTTTGCGACATCGTGGCGACTTACAGCACTTTCACAGAGTACACGATTGTGTCTTTAATTAAAAAACCATCCAATTTTTCTATAAAACACAATGAATTAATGACATCAATGATTTTGAGATTAAATAACCGGTCTGAGAAATTGGAGCTGCAGTTCCCCTTTAAACACGCTGGTATTTTGTATATGTCAGAAAAAAATGCTGTCTGGGTAGAAATTGATTAAATCTTAGACAACGCCCTCACTAATAGTGTATACAAATGGACATGTGGACATGTGAAATGGACATGTGAAATTTCACTCATCCATCACACAGCCAGAAATCATGGGGAAGTAGATACAGGAGATAGACTGCTTGCCAATTTCATTGTCTGGTCCTTTGATACGTTCTGAGACCAGCAAATCAGGCTCTCTGTGAGCAGGAATGACGGCAGAAAGCCAGCTGCCTTTCCAAGCATCTCATAAAAAACTTTCAACATAACGTGGTTTATAAAGACTTTTCATGAGTTCTTTATTTGTTTGAGTTTGGTAGTATGTCAGATATATAAAAATGTTTCATTAGTGCAAACAACAAGACAGCTTTGAATGTGTAATGGGCAACAATTTTAAGATAAGAGAGATCACTTTATTGGCCATATACAATTTCCTGTATTACAAATTTGTCTTTTCGCATACCCCAACTTGCTCTCCATGAGACACACGGACAGAGAGAGAAGCTTGGGGTCAGAGCACAGGGTCAGCTATTTATACGGCACCCCTAGAGCAGTTGGGCCTTGCGCAGGGGCCCAACAGAGTAGGATTCCTCTGCCGGCCGTGGGATACGAACCGGCAACTTTCCAGCCACAGGCGCAGATCCTTAGCCACAGAGCCACCACACCGTAATTTACAGCCTGTCCATTCAAGGCAATTCCAGTCTTTTGCTCGATAGTTCAGATGTCGAGACACAGACCTTAAACCCTGTGATACTGTAAAGCCAAAGTCATCTGGTAAGAGAAGTGAACACTTTTCAAGCAAGGGGATGGTACTTTCATCCTTCTCAGTGATATACATCCTGAAAACAAGGTTTAGCACCTAAATCTTTACTTTTTGGTAAACAATGGAATGAAACCCACTCAGAACTTCAAAAACAAACCCAACATGGAAAAAAAGAGAAAGATGGCAAGGCAAGAGGAAATGGCAAGTAACACAATTCTGACCTGCTATTTAGCGCTATTTGGAAAAACTGGTGTCAAATGACCATGTGTGGAGTTCAACCACTCCTAGTTTCTTTTATATTGAAGGCTAAACATAGGAAACTGCAGCGTTTGATCTCTGTATGTGAAAGGCTTCATTCTAAATTTAGTTAAGATCAGGAAAATTGATTATGCTGAAGACAACTGATAGATACCTGTTGTGTTAAATGTTCTGAAAGAATATCTGACATTTCAGAGCAAATTGAAGGCAAGGACAAGTGTTTCAAGCATATGGCAATTTTCATGTGTAGTCTAAATACATACGTAAGAATCTAATTGTCCTAAACACAATATTTATTGTAACAGAAAAGACTGATCAGGGGTGTACACATATCAAAACCCTTTGACAATGACTGTATTCAGAGTATAGCAAGCAAACACTGGTGGTTTGTTCTTATTTTCTCTGTAAAGTCCTTTCGACATGAAATAAACACATCTCAAAAGTTCACCAACCTGTCCGAGACTTCTTGCATCCCTACAAAATACAGCCTCCACTACTATTACAACTTCTCATACACGCAATTACAACAATTATTCAAACTGCACCTGTATGTTTTCTTCAGCGCAGGTGTCTGTGCAGTAACTTTAAACCCTGGGCCTCCAACCGCCCCAACTTTAACTGTTGGATCCTCATGGCTGGCAGCCCCTACATGGAAGCACAAACCTTTTTTTAATCACACCTAGAAAATACTGCTGGGATATGAGTTATGAACATAGGACTGGACAAGACAGAACAGGGCTCCATGATCAATCTCGGGCTTTGATTACAATTACAAAGTCAGATGGGACTAAAAACTCTTCCAGAAATTGCACTTACAGAAACATGACATAACATGACATTATTCTTCATGAATAATATTCATAAGAACTAAACAATATGTACTTTTATATTAATGTATGTGGCTACACTCATTAAATGGAGATTTAGTACTTCAAAATGCTTTAAAAAAGAGTTTGCACACAGAAATCTAATGAAAACTGGGGGAGGGCTCACCTTGGCTGTAGATTGAGATGTGGCCACTGGCGGTGAGAACAGCCAGGTCATTGGTCTTCCCTGGCTCGGGGTGAAAGGTCACCTGATTGGCAGCAGTGGGCAGCTGAAGCTGGTATGTGCACATGGGTGGGGGCACCACACCATGCCGGAAGGTGGTCACCAGAACCCTGTCTGAAAAACACAAGAGGTAGCCACATTAACATTTTTTCCCCACACTTTACAGCGGACACCAGGAGGGGGCCAGAAACAGCAAACAGAACATCTCCTTCTCATCTGTGTCCCCTTTAACAGACAGGCAGCTCTGTCAGGGGCGACATGTCCGTCTCTCGCATGACCTTACCTCCATCAATGACCGCCACATTGGCAGTATCCCGCGAGTCCGCCCCCGCGCTGCGATCCACGCTCCAGGTCCAGTCATAGCACAGGTACCGCCACCCCTGGCACAGGGCATGCAGCCGGAGAGGCAGCTCTGGGTCCCAGGCCACGCACACTGGCGCCTTGAGCGGGTCGTCGCCGAAGTGCAGGCTCTGCTTCAGATACCAGTGATAGTTCCCCACGGTCCACAGCTGAACTGCAAAAGCACGAACCCAGGATCCGACATGAAACCAGGGACACAGGCCTCTCCTTCCAGGAGCTGCCGCTTTCTCTTCAAAACAAACTTTTGAATGCTTTGGTGACAATAAATAACCGACCGGTAGAAAGAAGCAATATGGCAAGTTGGTCTCTAAGTCACAACGGGAAAGTGTCCATGGCTCTTCTTCAGAAACTACTTTTCGTAGCCTTACTAGAATACAAGAACTTCGGCAAAATGGAGCTGAAGTACATTGCAAGTTGGCTGGACAGGAGCCGCCAGGAGGAAAGTTCTTAATTCAAGGGTACACCGCCCATGTCCACTCTGGGGTCTCAATCCACCATCTTCCTGGAACAACTCCAGAGCCCTAACTCTCACATGTTACACTGCTGAATGAACAGTGAACACTGCTGTTCACCGACTACTTCCAGAAGACAAATACAGTCCCAAACTTCAAATCTGTTCTGTCGCTTTCACACAAGTACTGGGTTTGTCTTGTGTCTTATTAAGTAGTTGAAAGTCAGACAAATGTAAACTTATGGAGAAGGCAGGTCAATTCTTGTCTAGCTGCTTGTATTATTGTAACTGGGCGTCTGCTGCACCTTGTAACTGTGTGTCTGATGTACAGAACATGGCATTTTTTATCACTTTTCTTAGAAGGGGCAACACCTCTCAAATTATTCATAAGGAAATCTCAGTTCATCTGGCAAAAGCAGCTACAGTTCTCATAAGCTACATAAATCAGAGAGTTCAGAACAAACTAAGACAAAAACAAATAAAAAACCTATTTCCATACATGTACTTAACTTAATGTCACAGATGCATCACGATCTCCCTGTGATATTCAAATCTTCCAAAAAGACACCATGATATATGCTAAAGGTCATCCTATCGTCTGAGAGTTAGAGAGTGGACACTAGAGAGTACTGTAAAAATTGCCTGCTGTTGAAACGATGGATACACTAGAGTGCATCAGTGCTGAGGTAACAAGAGAAAGGCTCATACTGTAGGTGTTGGGCTGGTGGTCTCCATCAGAGATTATGTCCTCCAGCCAGACAGCCAGCACGGTGGAGTCAGCGTTCCAGAGCAGCTCCTTCACCTGCGAGCAGAGGAACAGAAGCATGAAAACTCACCCACAACTTTGGACTCCTAGTCACAGAGTCTGCACGTAACTTCAATGATTGAGCTTTTTGGAAATTGACTAAATTGACTAAGTCTCTTTGCATTTATCTACAACAACTGCAACCCTTAAGAGTGAACTGGACCAAAGAATTCTAACAAAAAACTGAAAGGCCTTTTCTTTAGCATTGTTCTTTAAAAGTGATACTACTAACATTTGAATCTAGGTTTTGATTTAACACACGAGCTCCATAACACAATTTATAAAGTTAGTATTTTTTGGATGTATTACAGTCTTCACCGGTGCAACCTTCTGAGCAGAGCATTCTTGAATTATGGGGTATCACAGTAACAATGTTGTTCTCTCATGTTTAAAGCACAGAAATCTTAAGCACATACTGAACCTGGAGGACACCAGCTTGGGTCTCGAGGACATTTTATAGGACCAGGGAGTCTCAATGCCCAGTATGAAGGCATGAAGTGCTCGAATTCTCTCTCGCCTACCTTGACCTTCTCCGGTTTGAAGGGTAGAGAGAACTCTCCATGCAGGAGCCCATTTTTCTCCAGAAAAACCACATCATGTTTGTTGGGCTTCCTCTGCGTCGATGCAATCAAACTTCCCGAGGGTCTGAAACAGGAGACACTGGTCAAACGGCCTAATTTCAAGCTCTTTCGCACTCTGGGGACAAAGAAAATTGCTGCTGCTGAAAGCACATCTTGCTGTTTAATCAGTTTTTATCCCAAGGCCATTGGGGTGTTTCTTATAAACTACAACATCCTGTATCACGCAGTCTCACCATCAGTACTGCTCTCTGTATCGGAATTGCTGATGAGGGCTGACCCGACCTTGCATCTGATTTTAAAGGGTCACTGAACGTTAGCTCATAGAACTTATTCATGTTATATTAAAACAAACCATGTTTTCCTTAACATTAGAACGGTTGTATGTCACTTGTTTGCTTTATCACGTTCTGAAACTCCATTTTAAAAAATAGGAATGTCTGAAAAGTGTCTAAATGGTATCCAATCTCTTTGAGCTTTGTGAACAGGACTCTATCTGTTTCTCTTCACGTTACACTCACACACTTTAATGTCGCATTTAAAGCTCTCCTAGAAACACAGGTTTATATTAGCGGTTTCTGTAAGAGGTACTGCTGTGTACGTGGCCATGACAGAACAACAGGGTCCATTTTCCATTCCTGCTCATAAGCAGGTCTGTAGAGAGATTTGTTTAGGGCCTAGGGCAAGAATCGGTACTTGTAAAGGTAAAAAATCATGGCTTTAAGTCTGGTGGTTGTTTAATTTCGGAAACAGGCTTGAGGAAGTCTATACAGTAAATTACATAATTAACCCATCGTAAAAACTGATTCCAATCCAGTGTCAAGAAAACATTTTTGAATACTGTAGGTTGATCCATATTCTGTTATATTTTACACATAAAGTTTAATATAGGATTTCACTTACTTCATATAGACTGATTCTTAATTATTCATGTTTTACAAGGGTGAGACGTGCTATTTGCATTGGTAAATATAAACCCTTTCTTGTTAGAAATTAATCTCCAGAACATGATAAAACAAACATCACCGTACCCTAAATACTGGTAGGTTAAATGAAAATATTAAACATTTAATATTAAACACAACAAGTGTTTAATGTCCAAAGTACAGTTCAGAAAGGCAGCTTACTTCCAACAGAGAGCTTGCTCTAGGCCATTAACCACCTCACTGGTTGACTGCAAGACACACTCTCTGTTCCACACTCTCACCTTCCTGGCACCTGAAACAACACAGAATAACACAACGTAATTTTCCTGTCACTCCCAAAATCCCCATCTCCCTCTGGCACATAGTTCACACAAGTCAAAACGGGAAACCTGAGCCAAGAGGAAAAAAAAAAGGTCTCACATTTGTGCATAGCACATGGTATGTAATGTAACAGAAGAATGTGACAGAAGATTAAATGGCATAAACACTGACAAGAGGCAAAGGGAGTGGGGAGGAAACTTAATGATGACCAAGTTTTAGATAACAATGCATTCTGTAGTTCAGGCTTTTATTTCAGTAAACTGAAAGCTTTAACTTTTAGCTAACCCAGAAAGCTGACTATGCCTCTCTCGACAGAACACCAGAACTAAGTAAATAGATTAAAGCAGAGAGCTAACTAACACCAACCCTAGCCCTCCATGTCTTTACAGTCATGATAGTTTAGATTTAATTTAAGCCATAAACCAGGCTTCTACTGTATAAACTTCTAGCGATATTACAAAGTATTTGAGGGGACATCATATCAGGCAGAAATTGATTTAGATTTTTTCCCAGAAGTGTTAAAGATATCCATGTGATTTATTGTCTCAATTCAGAGAAAGCTGACAAAGTGTGCAACTGACTATTTTGCAGTTATTAAAGATCATACTAAAAAAAAGATTTCAATCTTTCATACAGTATCTAGAAAAATAAAGGTCCTAACACTGCAATGTTCATCAAAGAAAAAGGAAATTATTTGGTCTGTAGAGACAAAACATTTATCTTCACACTACGGCCAGGTCCACAGTACGTAATGAGCCGCTGCCTTTCCAAGTTCAGCTTTCTAAGGGAGAAACAACAGGGCTCCCTGTGCTCAGCGTCCTTCTTCATGCAGGCTTGTCTCGGTCCCTGGCCAACATCCAGCTTCTGGGAATAATCGTTCTCAGTAATAAAACTGAATGAGGAGCCTGTCTCTTACCTGTCAGTGGACACACTGCACTCACGGCAAAGAACTGCCCGTCCCCCCTCCATGAGATCCGGGGCCGGCGATCATCCCAGGACACAGCAGGCTGCACCTCCTTGCACAAAGAGGGAACGTGATGAATTTGTTGCTCAGGAACCCCACGTGAACAGCACAGCACTTACAGCATGACTTACTGCTGTCTTGCGCCGAGCAGCCTGCTTCCCTTCTGAACCATGGAACTGGGTCTCCTTCTTTCCCCACCCCACAGTGATGAACTTCCCTGAAAGAGATCGGTGCAGCCTGGGTGAGACAGTGGGACACTACAAGTCCACAATTAAACACAAGCTGCTGTCTATGGCTGTACATGCTTTGAGGGGAAATACTAACTACAGTAGAGTCTTGATTATCCGACCTTCGACTCTCCGACATAGCCAATCAACATGCCATATATTGTAGGCGTGCGCATGCATAATATTGTAGCGCCGGATGCTTTAGAGGGTGCACCGTCCCCAGCCTGCCGTGTTTGTGCATAGCTAAGGGACGATGCAGCCACTAAAGCATTTGGCAAGGGCGCTTCAATATTTTGCCCAATCCCACGCTGCTTTGTCTCTCAGTGCGTCACAAACTGCCATTGAAGTAGCTTTGCTTGCTCGTTTGCGCTCGTGATTCATTTTTGTACTGTAAATACAGTGATTGTGTTTTATTTTTCCTACTGTATTTTCCCTTAATATAATCATATTATTTGAGAAACATGACAAGTGACAAGATTAATAAACCAGATTTTATACATATACTGCACTTCCATTAATCTACGATTTGTCTATTCAGTTTCCGCATTATCTGACATTTCCGATTATCCGACATACTGTACTATCGGCCCCGTTTAGGTCAGATAATCGGGAGTCTACTGTACCTGATTGTAAATTGTCCTAGATCCAAAAAAATGTTAACCTGAAACATTCTTATTCTCAGCATTTATCCAAATCGGCTGTAATAGCCAAAGATGTAATAGGCGCTTTAGGTTAACGCAAGTCAACACATACTCCTGATGAATGTATGTTCTCTAGTGTGTCCTAGCTGTACACAACCACCTAGAAACAATCACTGTCATACTGTCTGAAGTGGAACAAAATTGTATTGTCCCATATAAGGGACACACATTTCTGAATCAGCTCAGGCTAATTCAAAAAGCAAGACAAAAATGTTCATAGGTCGCCATGGCACGCGAGTACATACCTTCGCCGAAGTCGTCCTGGTGGATATTGATTTCAGTTATTGGTTCAAAGTCCTTTGTCATCATGATGAGAGTCTCCTGTCCTGCAGTCACACAATTTACACACAACTTGACACAGGACACGTCATGTCTGTCTTAACATTTAAGAATGGCATGTCTACCAAGTTATAAAATAAAAATTAGTTTACGCAAATAATGACCTTAGACGGGTTTTTTTTCAACCTAAAATGTTGCATCTCTTAAGACAGTGTGGGACAGTATGACATGCCTGCAAGCACATGGGAGGCCACAGGGGCACTGTTTCAAAGAGAGCCCAGTCCTAACTAATCACAGCCTTCCCACTGCAGTTTGGAGACTTTCTATAGCATTTATGGAAGAGAGGCAGACACAAAGGGGATCCTGACTGCTTGTCTTAAAAAAAATTATCAAATGAGAAAAGTGCCTTGAAGATCCCTCGGGAGGGGGATCAGAATACCTCCTGGGTATCCCTGCCTGTCGTAAGAGGCGACTAAAAGGGCTGCATCAGTCAGGGCATCCGACGTAAAACCATCTTGCCAAAACCATGGTTGCAAAGAACACAAAGCACATACC